TGTAACATTTCACCGGTAAGTTAATAAGCATGCAATTGCTACAGATGCACTGAATAACTCACAACATGTGACATCTATTAATAAGATAACGATTTGCCTTTCTCAATATTAAAAAAACAAGTGAAGAGGGTAAAATCACAAAAAAATGAAGATGGGGATCGTGCTTTAACATTTAGACAAAGATAAACTGTCAATCATTTATAACAGTCAAAGTTACCACCTCGCCCAATACAATAGTAATGAAAAATACTGCGAGTATATGAACCTATTTGCTACTATTGTAACGAGGCACTCGACAAACTTTCATAATATATTTCATGAACACATATTACAAACTTCACCCTTGGTGAATCGTGCCAGCTGCAACAGGGTCTCCAATCAGCAGGGCTTTGGGCTTTTTTTCTCTTTCCATCGGCGACATTCCCGACTCCCCACATAATTTTCCCGTTCTCGAGGTGGATGGCCAAGCGGCCTAGTCCGCCCGCAGGATATCAGTCAGCGAGCACCGCCAACTATATCCCGTTGACGCGCCCGCACATCTTATCATCTTCTTTAGCTTCTGATGATGGCGTCTCTCACTTCTAGCTGTCGTCTGATCACCGTGTTGGAAATATGGAAGCGACGTGAGATTTTCAACATTCTTCTTTTCATGACTCCCTGACTGCCAAGTTAATGGCGCTCTTCAGGCTTACTGAGTGACCATGTCTAACAGCAATGCCACAACGACGGCAGAACAGTAGAATTGAAGAAGTGGGTGCGGGTTTCCTTCCTGTCATTGCCGAGAAAGACGTTCTTGATGGAACGGAACGCGCGCCAAACGCCTCTAACTGCCTTTAAATTCCTCCAGGCTTACCGTGTGCTGATCTGATACTAACTGCAAAAAATATATTTAAAAGTTTAGTATTTAAATGTAAGCGTTACATATCAGATGGAACAGGGGGATCACCTACCTGACGCTAAAAGCACTTATGGCTGAGGCATGAAACCTTGCAAGTTGCACATATACTATCAATATTCGCCAATTCTTTCTACAAGATCTGATTTTGTCACTGAAACTTTATGCATCTTGGAAAGCACTCGGGACGACTATCTGTTTCATTCACTCTCTTAAAAAGCTATTATCCATCATTATTAGCCTTATGAATTGTGTATAGTAGTTTGACTTTTTGATCAAAGGACTGGAACGATCACTTATAATACTAGCCGATCAAAACATGATAGAAATTATCTTCTACCGCGCCGCGGCGTCTTGAGGAAAACATGTTTGAAAATGGAAAGAAAATGCCGGCCGCCGTGCCAATTGGATGGTAAAAAGCCAAAAATAAGGCAAACTGAACTTGTCGAAACGTGCATTATTAGTTTCTCATTCCATAAAAGATTACCATCTTTTCAGGCTCATAAAAATCAAACAATTTGCATAACAGAATCATCATCTCCGCATATACAATGCTAATAATTTTCGGTCTCCAGTCAAGCACTACAACAAGTTTTATTACAGTCAGGCAAATTGCATTTTTACAGGTTTCATTTGCATTATTTCCTTTTAACTAGGATAACTAAAACGCCACTGCATGTATAGAGGCTAATCTACAGGCAACGACGTAATCAAACTGCCTGCTGAATAAAACAGTGCTACGCGACCATTAAAACTGGAGAGAGTAAATATTAAAAGTCACTCTGTAAAACTGCCGAAAATTCAAAACAATTTTGGC